GGTTTCTAATCTTCTCTCTAACCTTATCTCATGAGGATTTTGCAAGACCACCTAAGAATTTTTCTTTCCAAAATGGTTATTGGCTATCTTTGTGGGTATGAACCGTTATAAAAAATATGTCTCTATACCATCTAAAATTGACAAGTTTCCTGCATTTAAGGTTTTAAATAAGTTTGGTTGATTTATCTTTTCATAAAGAGGGGTCACTAATGAAATGTTAAAATATGGTAAATATCAAGGTGTTTATTGCATCAGGGATAGGTTCTCCATTATAGGTTATAGGGGTCCCATCAGATTCTAATTTGATAGCTCTAAAGATTTGGCCCTTTTCTTCCTGAGATACATAATTGTCCTACCATCCTTTCAACTATCCAGAAAATCCTGTAATAAGGAGGTTGACTGTAGCTTCTTTTGTGTTGTTATAGGTTGTTTGATAAGTAGTATTTACCATGGTCATATATTGAAGAGTGTTGAGGATATTATATTCAATCTGGCAGTCTATATTCCATTCATAAATATTATTTGCAATAAAATGTTTAAAAGTTTGATCTTGATATTCTTTTAATAAGAGATCAGGATCTATAGCTTTTAGATGATAATATTTTGAGGGTGCTTTCTAATTTAAGGAGGTTTGGTTTATCTCAGGATTCCTATTTGATTATGATGAAGAGGCTTCTTCTTAATTTGATAGAACATTAATAGTTAAATTTCTTAGTGTTGGTGATTTGGAGGTTTAGGTAGGACTATCCAAAATAACTAATGCTTTAAGTTGTTCTTTTTTGTAGAAGATTGTTGGAGGGTGAAGCCTCAAATTCTTTTTTAATTTTAGGTGCACATGAAAATGTTTGAATAGTGGGGCCTCTATTGTAAGTTTTGGTGAAGAAAGGATGAAGATTTAATAGGGTTATGGGTAAGGTATTCTCCTAAAATTTAGAGGTACCTATTAGTATAATTATTTTATTCCATAAGATTTTGAATATCCTTGGAACTAATTTGCTCATCAGTATATTTCCATTTGAAAGAAGAGCATTATGAAGGTTTGGAAGTTGGAAAGTTCTTTGAGGATGGAGCTTTGAATCTATTATATCTCCTTTAGGAGCATGCCATGATTTGGTTATATTAATTGATTTAGCAAATGGATATTCAATTTATTGTCTAAAACATAAGCATCAAACCATTCAAAAAAATAAAATATTCACTTGCAACATTTCAAGGAAGTTATAAAATTTTTCTTGAATTTGCTTTCTTTTTTCTCCTTTTAAATGTTCAAAGAACTAAATCCTAGTAGGCTCATTTTCATCAAAGTAAAATTCCTTTTGTAAATATTTTTATCAATTTGAAAATTAGATGAAATGACATTAATTTCATAAGGTTCATTTGAAAATGTTGGAGATAATGTAGATCGTTGATCTTTCTTATCTCTTTGGTAGGTTTGTCTAGGGATGTTGGAAGAAGTATCCAAACCTTGTAGGTGTACGGTTGAGTGTACGGACTAGGGTGCTGAAGTGGTTGAGTGCCTAGGTAATTCTGAAGAAATAGTTCTAAAGTCACTAATTGTTCCTGCTCTAGAAGATGTTTCTCTAAAAGAATTTCTTTTTATCAAACATTATTCTTATGGCTTCTGTAAGTATTTGCCTAATATTCCTAGTATCAAGAGTTGGTTGGGCTTAAGCAGGGGTTGCATTTTCCATAACCCATTTGTTTGGCAAGTTAACATCATGCTACTAAATGACTTTAGGAAGGATAACATTTTCTTTGGCTCTATCAGTTAAGAATACAGTGGTATAACCATCTTCTTTTAGTATTAAGACTCTAAAACTTGAAGAGTTCATGACTCTATATTGGATTCTATAGAGCAACGCTACAAGGATAAATCATGGTTTCATACAAAAGTCATGTAATTTTAAGTTTAATTTTAAAACATCCATGAAGTTTTCATCCATAAGGCTGACGGTTCTATTTGGGTAATTGTTGAAATAGATTAGACTTGGGTAATTGTTGAAATAGATTAGACTTGCATGCAAGCCATCTTCTACAATACCTAACAATGAATCATAAAATAACCCATGTCTAGAATCCCTAAGACAAAGGAGAAAAGAGACGTCTAATCCTTCCCTAGCTAGAAGATTGATGGCAACTTGGACACATCTAACATGCAAAAACTTATAATTTTTATAGTGGTATTTATTGGATTCATTTGATAGAAGAAAAAATTCTTCTTTTGAAGGGTTGACAGAAGTTACACCTTTAACAAATTTGATAATATAATTAGATTTGACAAAGAATTTTCCTTTAGGTTTATAGTAGGCATTTTTATGAACTTTTGTAATTTCAAGTAGTAAATGTCTTGGTTAATTTCTTGGAAGTAGATTTCTTTACAAAAAATGTTGTTTGAAGAGGATGGTCCTCTTTCATGGAGGGAGGAAGAGCCAGAGATAGAAGATTGGTAGGAAAAGGAAAAATTTCTAAACATTTTTTTTTTGTAAATCTCCTCTTTTCAGGTATCATTGCGTTCAAGTTCTATAGAAATGTAAAGGAAGAATGTGAGCCAATATTTATTATATTAGATCTTATATCAACGTCTTATTATTATTTTTAGCTTGGTCCAATAGCATGTATCACTTTAAGTGATTTTATGATAAATATAGACAAAATTTTCATGATTATTGTGAGGTTATGGTAGTTAAACTCCAATGAACAGGGTGTAAGTCCATATTTTGGTAGAAACTCACATGAAAAATCTCAGTTGTCAATAGATTTGGAAGTAATTAATTGTGTTGAGTTGGCCTTTAAAGTAATTCTCCCAAAAATATATGTCACGTGGCTAACCAATATGCTCAATGTTAGGATCTGGTAGTCTTGGGCAAAATTGTTTCATTTTTAAAAATGTTGGAATGACATTGTGCCAAATAATATTTTAGGATATTAGTTGCACTTATGTGAAAATTGCAAGGTAAATTTGTACATTAACTCTAGAATATTTATTGAATTTTTTTATATGATATTTATTTAATATTGGTTCATGTTTTCTAAACTTGATTCTTCAACCTCTCAAAAGATGTATTTAGTAAAAATTAGTTTTAAATCTTGAATACGTATTAAATTTGAAATAGGACTAAGTGAGGTGCATAGTAATTTGGGATCATCTCTTCCATACTTATTAAATTACATAAAAAAAAACCCTCAATTCTCCCATGACATTTTCCTCATCATAAGTAGGCTAATCAACAGAGGAATGCTAGAAATAGGCTTGCTTGCCCGTATATAGTTGACATTTCTTATCAAGCTCTTAGGGTTGACGGATTGTAAAGAAGCAATAAACCTTTTCTTCTCTTAATTGAACTTTTCAAAATTATGATAGTCAATCACTTTGTAAAATCATTACCTCCATCGGGGTATTGGTGAAAACCATTCAAGAAAAGTCTAAAGAGAGGAATTTTCATTTCCAAAATTACGCAAGTGGTGGTAAAGTTTAAGAGGTGTCAAGACGAAATCATAGGTATTAAGAGTAGAGAGTGTCCCAATATACCATGTTACTTCATTAGGTATAAGACCTCAAATAAAAGGAATGACTAGAAATTGGGTTTGGATGTTAAAATATTCAAGTTCTAGGTGGATCTTTGTTATTCTTAAGGAGAATGTGTTGCTAGAAAAACAGACTTTACTTAGCTGGTTGATGACTTAAGAGAAGGTTTAGTTGTGATCGAGGAAGGAAGTTGGCTTTGTGAGAAGCTGTATAGGCCATTTGGGTTATGGATAGAAGAAAAAATAGTTGAGTTGGTTTGGAAGATGTGATAAAATGAATCTTCTTTGATGATATTCTTAAGAGGTAATCAACAATGGTATTGTAATATCCTTTAATATGACAGACTTCAAATTTATACCTTGAAAACTAATCTATCAATCGCAGCAGTTGGCTATGTGGAAGCATTTTCTTTTTAAGATACAATATCTTTAGGAAAAGATATGTTGTTCATTTCTATAACAAAATGGTAAGGGTTGAGGTGAAAATTAAATTTTTCAAAACCTCTTTTAACAACTAATTCTTTATACGTGGTATTATAATGGTTTTTTGATTCTTTGAATTCGTTACTGCCATGTCCCCAATATTATCTTTTCCAATCTACTTCTTCAATTTGCATAGCTCCCCAAAACTCTTCACATGCTTCAATCTACAAGATTCTGTGTCCCTTGTCTTGAATTTTGAGTGGTGATGGGTGTTGGGTAATTTTCTTCAAATATTGAACTGCTTTAGTTTGGTATGTATTCCAAGGTGGTACGGATTCTCTTTGAGCAATTTTGACAATTAACTAATATTGAATTTTGTCTCGGGTATAGTTGACTTTTTTTAGGAGATTTTTATCAAGAAAATTGAGTAGTTCAATTGGTATTTATATGTGTGGGATGGGTTGATATTGGCCATTTTGAAAAACCATACCTTTGGACAGCTCCATATTTGGCTGAAAGCATGACACTGTATTTTTGGATAATTTTCAAATATATAATTGAACTGCTTTAGTTTGGTATGTATTCCAGGGTGGTATGGATTCAAATATATAATTTTACTAAGTTCTTGGCCCTAATTTTTTTTTTGACTTATTTAGTTTAGTCTGAATTATCAGCTCTATATATGAATTCATTCAAAATATAAAAATAATAATAATTTTCTTTTCTTTTCTTTTTTGGGTCAACCAATAATACTTTTTTCAATGTAATGTTTTATTCAATATTCTAATCCAAAATCTATCTTGTTTTTAAATGGAGAAGGGCAAGCAAAGCTTGGTTACATGATGATCAATCCAAAATCTATCTTAAAAAAAATGAGTTTCTTCCCTTGAAACCAACTATAGTTGGCACTTGGCAAAGTACCTTCTTTCCGTTAAAAAATAACTCCTTTTAATTATTTCATCATGCACGAACCTGTGAATTTACTCATGATTTTAAAAATCTCTAGATCATTAATTTGTATTTCTAACAAGTTAATTTTCTCCATAAAACAGACTCTGAAGATTTCTGGGTTCCAGGGTTCCCAGAGAACTACAGATTCCATTGCTCTCAACTTCATAAATTCATAAGAGAAGCTAATGAAAGCGACGCATGGTCTTCATTCTTCCGTTCTCAGATTTCACTCTCTGTAAATTCTGATGGTTGGATCTGCAACACCATTGAAGAAATAGAGCCTTTAGGGCTTCAACTTCTGAGAAACTACATTCATCGTCATCCTGTTTGGCCCATAGGTCCTATCTTCCCTCTTAATAATGATTATTCCAATGCAAAGAAATCAAGCATAACCCTAGAAAGATGCATTGAGTGGCTAGACTCAAAAGATCTAAATTCCGTTCTGTACATTTCCTTTGGATCTCAGAACTCAATCAGTGAATCCCAGATGATGGCACTAGCAATGGGGATAGAAGAAAGTGAAAAAAATTTCATATGGGTCATACGACCACCTCTAGGGTTCGCCACTGTTGATGATGACGAACAACAAGCTTTCAGATTATCAGAATCATGGTTTTTGCCACAAGGGTTTGAAGAGCGAACTAGAAAAAAGGGTTTGCTAATACGAAATTGGGCTCCACAATTGGAGATTCTATCACACAGATCAATATGTGCATTTCTGAGCCATTGTGGATGGAACTCTGTGCTTGAAAGCTTGAGCCATGGAGTGCCAATTATTGGGTGGCCAATTGCAGCGGAGCAGAGTTATAACTCGAAGATGTTAATGGAGGAGATGGGTGTGAGTGTAGAGATTACGAGAACTGTGGAAACTACGGTTTCAGGGAAGGAGGTGAAGAAGGTGATAGAGATGGTTACGGAGCAAGAAGAAGGGAAAGGGAAGGAGATGAAGAAGAGAGCTATGGAAATTGCAGAAGTAATGAGGAAAGCTAAGGAAGAAAATGGTGAAAAAAAGGATCCTCAGTGAGAGCTATGGATGACTTTGTCAAAACCGTTTTATCATGGAAGTCAAATGCGCTGTAAACTTAAGAATGTTTGGGAGTTTAGAATGGCATATGCATGTACAGTAAAATAAAATGGACAGTGTGAGACAGAATGGAATGGAATGAAAGATCCTAGGGTATGAGAGTTTTATTAAGAAGATGAAGCAAGATAAAGCTTGAATAAACTAGAATAATTATCTTAAAGCATGTTGTCATCTATGGAAGTTCCGGATCTGGTAAGATGTTGAGAGAACATGCAATCCATTAAGCAAAATGAATGCAAGAATAAAATCTTGCAGCACGAAAGCTACTTAAAGATCGAGTTGCTTGTCATAAAATCACGATGACCAAAATGTATTTTTAGCTTTAACTAGAATAACTGGTCAAAACACATATACTTGTGAGTTGGAGTTTTTTCCAGTGTATCCAGATGGAATATTTAAGCCTACTATATGGTCCATTCAATTATGCTTAGTTTATTTTAAACTAGTGCATAATATAACATGAAAATTATGTAATATTCACAATATTATTTTGGTTAGGAATTTGAAATTGATTGATGCTAATAATTCACAAATATTCCAACAGAAAGATGATTTTATCTTATTGCGGTTTGAAAGTTATTATGAAATTAATGGAAAAAATAAGTTATATATAATTGCACATATTTTTTATATTTTAGAATTCTTAGCTAATTCATAAGGAAGATTATGAGCAAGAAGGAGGGAAAGGGAAGGAGATGAAGAAGGCCATGTAGATGTAATGAGGAAAGCTGAAGAAGAAAAGTGACAGACTGTGTATCAAACAAAATTTCCTCCAACAAAAAGATACATGTAGGCAATTAAAAAAGATCTATCGTAGTAGGAGGCATGGATGACATTTTCAAAAACCATTTTATCATGGGAGTTACTTAGGTAGCTTTTCTACCAGCTCCTTTGCTATCATCATGGAAAGCAAACGTGTTGCAAATTTTTAGACTATGAAATAATAACTATCAAATATCAATATATTTTAATATTATACACACCCACATCCATCTATTTACAAAGAAAAATAATTTATATATTTATAAATTTGGAGGTAGTTTATAATAAAACAAAATCCAATTTCATTGTAATAATATAAAATTTATTTAAAATGATATTATTTAAAAGTAGTAATTAATAATGTATTGATTCTTAATTTCCTACTTCAATTTATACTCAATAAATTACTATAAATATAAATTACAAGTTTTAGAATATAGTTTTGCATTTTGGATTTAAAATAAAATCTCGCAAAATAATATACTACTATACATAAAAAGAAGCCTTACAATTTTATTTTTTTAAAAAGGCTGTAATGAATTCTTAAAACTTATATATTTTTTAATTTTAATCCTATCGTAAGCATTTTGTAAGTATTTATTCAATTTTAGCAAAAAACCCACACTCTTGATTCCTTAAATTTATATTAGGTTTTCTAGTCCCTTAATTTTAATAGTTTTCTTTTAATTTTTATTTGACAAATGAAACAAAAAATTCCCCTATGATTAACACTATTAATGATATTAACAAAAATTCTAATAAAAAATCTATCAAAACAATTATATTAACAAAAATTCTAATAAAGCATTGATAAATATGACAATCATGTTTTAACTTTTAAGAATTATTAACAATATGAAAGGTTACTTTTTTCCTTCAACTATTCGCTTATGAGAGTTTGGTATTATAAACTTATATGTGGTGTAATTTTTCCCTTCAACATTTGAAAATGACGTAGTGGGTACTCTGTTATTAAAAAATTAATTTTAACTATTAGTTGATCTAAAATATTACAGACAATGACCTCAAAAATTATACAAAAAGGCTCAAAAAATTACAAACATGTATCCAATAAAAAAAAATCACTTATGAGAGTTTGGTATCATAAACTTACATGTGGTGTAATTTTTTCCTTCAACATTATTTGAAAATGGTGCATTGGGTATTTTTCTATTAAAAAAATTAACTTTAATTATTAGTTGACCTAAAAAATTACAAACAATAACCTCAAAAATTTTAAAAAAAGACTCATAAAATTACAAACATGTATCCTATAAGAAAATTAATAACAATTAAGTCCTTCAATAGTGTGATAATTTAAAAGTCTTTCTCCAAAATTTATAAGTCCTCCTTAAAAAATTTACAGCTAGTATAAAAAATGTGTTCATTTATAAATAAATAGATGCACTAGTTAAATTGTAAATTTATAGATAATATGTAAATCTCAAAGGTTAACTTGTAATTTGTGTTTTTGCCAATAGTTGTGATCCATTAATTACTCAGGTTAAATTGGTTGGTTAAAATCATATCTTAATAAAAACATAAGTAAGAAATAACACTTGTATTGTTGTATTTATATATAATTTAAGAGACTTAATTAGTATAAATTTTCATATAGGGTACTTGTATGTAAATTTTTGGATTTTTTTTCCGCAATTTTAATTTTGAGGGCATTTTCTATAATTTTAAGTCAATTAATGGTCAAAAATTTCAATATACCCAATGTACCATTTTAAAACATTGAAAGGGAAAATTGCATTATATATTAGTTTAGGATACCAAATGCTATTAAGTAAATAGCTGAGAAGCAAAAATATTCTTTTAACGCATGTTCTAATGAACTAATTAATTATTTTTCCTGTGCAATGAAAAGGAAATGAATAACGAATCTAGCGCGCAAAGTAAAAAATATGTACTATCCATTATATATATCTTTTATCATTTCCCAATACAACTATTTAAAAAACTTTTCAACAAAAAAGATAAAAAAATTTATCTATAAAATCGTTTTTTTTTTCAATTCTAATATAGCAATCATATGACATTCAAAGTTTCAAATTATCTCAAGCTCCACATAAAAAAAAAAAAAATCAATAACCAAGGCAGACTTCTAATGGCCGTTTAGATTTGCGACATTAAGATTTTGGGAAGTATTTATAAATGTACAAACGGACTTTTGAGAAGTACATTGAAAAAGCAATGAAATGAATTTGCTAACATTTCAAGTCAAGCTTTTGAGACAGAAATGAAATGTCGGAGCATTAATTAGGATAATGAATATGTACCTAATTTTCATTTGACCATGTTACCATGTGTTTTCTTGTCTCTCTTTATGTGTTTTGGGGTGAAAACATCTTAAGCTGTATTGATCTAGGTAAGGTCCTTCAACACCTCTCCTAGGCAAATTTGAACTACTTTAGGATCCTTAACCTTTTGACATTTCAACCTATGGATCTCTAAGTGTAGTCACATGAGCTTATACTCATGGACCATGGTTGGATTCTTCATGATGCACAGGTTCTTCAAAAGAGGCAAGTATAAAACATACTTGAATCTTAATATGACAGAAGTAAGATTATTGAATCAAGCTTTCAAGAGAGATGAGAGAGTTTTAGAAAAGAGATATAATTGAGGACACACTAATTTTTTTGCCAAGCAAGTCCTACTTTACAATACATCTTAGTCTCCCTTTTATCAAAGAAGGAAGGAAAGTCAAGACAACACACCATTATTATTATACATTTACACACTTTTCTTAAAGTAAAAGTAGATATGACCAAAATAAAAAGTAAATTTGCCTAAGGTGACCTGACTAAAACAAACAACTTTGTCAAAAAGTAAAAGTCAAAAGTAAATCTGACACTAATAAAAGCAAACATAATTAATGCAAAGCAGATTCTTCATGTGATTGAAGACCTTAGACTCCTGTAGATACATTCTTGATCAAAAGATAGATTTAGATAGCTTTTCTCTCTCTTTCTAACTCAGGCTAAAAGACCTTCTATTTGTTCTTCATCAAAATCTTCATCCATTTTTTAAGATGGTGTAAGGTCAAATGTGTTTTTTTATTTCTAGAAATAGCTAGTAGGTCTGAGACTCTATTTTACAAGGGTTCTAGCTATTTGGAGGAAGCAAGTTAAAAGTCAATCTTGTACTTTGAGATGACTGTGCTCTATGATAAGATTCCATCTATGTTGAGTAGCCTTATTAAACAGCAATACTAGAAAGCCATTCTGGAAATTGATATCATACAAATGTTGATGGATCATTAGGGAGGATAGGTTGATGTGGAATAAGACCAAGAGATGTACACCTAACATTAGGATCTGTACCTAAAAAGTTGTTCATTTCACATCAAAAATCTTTTAACTCAGATAGAACCAATTTTTCATATGACAGCTAATTAAATGAAGTTTTCCATAGGTGTAATTTGTTGGCAATATAAAGATCCCCATGGCTATCTAAGTGGTAGGGATGATGAATGATAAAGAAAGAATAAGCCTTCTGTTCATTTAATAGTACCTTTCACAGACCATATTTTTCAATCACTTGGGAAAGTTCCTTGTGCCATTTGGGTAGTAGTAAAAACCATTCAAGAAAATTCCAGAGATTAGATCCTTCATTAGCAGATTCATGAAGATAATGATAAATGATCAATGGTGGCAAAGCTTAGGCACATGCATAAAAAGCTGAGAGCGACTTAAGATGCCACATGGTTTCATTTGTAGATTTGAGATACCACATGATTTCATTTGGTGTAAGTCCTCTAATATATGGTATGATCAGGTATAGAGTTTGAATGTTAAAAAACTCAAGCTAGGGTTGAATTTGGGTTTTTTGGAGAAGAATGTGGAGCCAAAAGAATAAACTTCCCTTGGCTAATTAGTAGACTTAAAGGACAATTTTAGGATTGAATCTTAGAGGAAAGACTAACTATTTGGGCATGATATTAAGGATAAAAAGAGGTTGGTTTTTTGGGGGTGTTATAAGTTGGATTTTTTAAGGTATGATGAGGTAATTTACGATGATGTTATAATTTCTTTTGATGTATTAGCTTTAAATCTATATTAAGAGAATCAGTCCTTCCATTGAAGATGTTGAGCTTCAGAGAGTATCTTTTTGTTTTGATTTAGAATCTTTGGGAATGACATGTTATTCATTTCTACCACAAAATAATAAGGATTAAGATGAAAAATGAATTTCTCTATGCACATTTCACAGCTAGGACTTCCTTGTAGGCTATGTGATAATGCTTTTTGGAGGGCTTGAATTCTCTATTGGTATGACCATAATAATGTCTTTTTCAATTATCTTCTTCAATGAGTACTACTCCCTAATAGTCATTACTTTCATCAATTTGTAGGATTTTTTTTCAAGAATTCTTAGTGGCGGAGGATG